GCGCCTCATCCGGCCGCGCGGGCACGCGGCTGCGGAGCAGGGGCCTGGGAGCCTCCACACCACCGTTGGGTGTCTGGCTGAGCCTGTCTGCAGAGCCAAGGGATAGAGGCACACGGGTCAGTTGTGCTCCGTGTCTGTCTCACTCCTCTCGCCGCGCTACTGACCCAGGGCAGGAGCTCTGCTCCGAGCCCACTTGGTGCAGCCAAAGGGCGATGCTCCTGCTCCCAGCTCAGGGAGCAAGGCCAGCCCCAACTGCATGAGCAGGCAATGGGTTTGGAGAGCAATCTGAATCAATCGTGGTTTGCCAGTGACATAAAGTACACTTGGAGAACACTCCGTAGTACACTTTATGCCTAAAACACCAACAGAGCACTGAAAACTGTAATGGAGAAAGACTTCCCATCTCTTTGGTGATGATAGGATCAGGGCATAGCTTGCAGTGCTCTTGGGCCTCCTGCAGCACAGAACCCCCAGCTCCCATCCTACCAACTCCCCATGCAGTTCCCTTTGCCTCTGGAGCCACGAAACCTCTCCTCAGGGTCTCTCCTAGGCACAGAGAAGCCTTGGCTGAGCCAGTGGAGCATGCAGCAGGTAGCAGAAAACCCCATACCCCACAGAGTCTGTCGTGTGACATGGTGCACCCCACGTATCACTGGGTTTTCTTGCCTTTCTCTCTGAGCAGCTCTGGGCCCTGGGAGGTGCAGCCCTGCTGCTGCTCCCTCCCTGGCTCCTGGATGGGAAGCAGGAGGGGAGAGGCAGGTAAGGCACCAGAGAACAGCCAGACTGACCTGCGTTCTCCTCCACAGAAGCACCAAAGAAGACAGGCCTTTCCCTCAGGGGCCGTTTGGAGATGGTGATGGGTTTGTGGCGCCGAGCAGCCACCCTGGGCGGGGGCACCGGGGGGGCACTGGTGTCCTCGGGGGGGCCAGAGTAGATCTGTAAAGACAACGTGTTCAGGGGCCTGGCACGGAGGGGCTGCTGCATCCCCTCCTGCCACGGGTGTCCACAGCCAGCACGGACACTGTCCCCACCACCACCACCACCACCACCGTCCCACCAGACCCTGATCCCGTCACTTCAGCTGCTCCTCCCTCGCTCCCTGGTGACACAGGGTGGCTGCTGCCTCATTGCCCATGAGGGTCTGCCCTGGGCAGGGCCAAGACATGCTTCTCACTCCAGAACACAAGGTCTGGGGTGCTCTCCCCACCTGGATCCAGAGGGACTTTGCTCTGGCAGAGCAGCCTGGGAGTTAAAAGCAGCAGCTTGTGTGTTGTTCAAACAGCAAAAGATTACCTGCAGGAGGACAATTTTTTGGAAACATCAACCTCATTCCTATATCCTGACTGGAATCCAATCAACCTCATTCCTACATCCTGACCAGAATCCAATCCTGGTTATTAAAGAAGCATCAAGTTCCCCATGGACACTTACACAGGTACCACAGAATGCTGTTTTCACAAGATGCTCTTCCATACCTGAACCCTAAGATAAGCCTCCACACATGGGTCTATTTAAGATGTGGGTGCTGCCTCTGCTTTGCTTCTAAATGAAAATCCAAGTTAAACAACCTGAAGGTACAAAGATGTTGACAGACCTTCACCTTTAGAAGGTTTGCACAGGGAAGGTATTTCAAGAGCAATCAACCCACTTAATTTAACCAGAGCACTGAAACATGAGCTGTGGAAACAGTAAGTATCTGCAAAGACTTCATGAATAGTTACTTCATCCTATAGCCTGCATTGTTCTTCCTCCAGACTCATCTGAGCTGTTTGCATAGGTGGGAGCTGCAGGGACTCTCAACTCCAAGACTAAACATACGAGCTCAGTCTAATAAATGTGACTAACTTAACCTTATTGCTGGAGAAATGAAGAGCAAGCAAAGGGACATCTGGCTTAATTAAAGCTGCCACCCCAGCTCTCCGAGGTGGCAGGCAATGGTGTGTTGGCTCAGCCCTCCCCGTGGGCTGTGCAGGGGGAGGACAGAGCCTCAGCTCCAAATCGAGCTGTGTCAGATCCCAGACACAAACCAGTCCCTGGATTTAACTTACAAAAAGCATTTGCAGAGTCCTACAATGGAATTTCTTCATGGAAAGGGCTGTCAGGCATTGGAAGGGGCTGCCCAAGGAGGTGATGGAGTCACCATCCCTGGAGGCATTGAAGGAACAACTGGATGTGGCACTCAGTGCTCTGTTCCAGTTGACAAGGTGGAGTTTGGTCACAGGTTGGACTCAAATATCTCTGAGGTCTTTTCCAGCCTCAATGATCCTGTGATCCTGTAATTGGCTTGTGTTTCCATGAGCCTCTGGTGTGCATGCTCAGAAGACTGTCTGAGTGCTTTCATCCCATGTCCAGGTTTCATATCCTGCCACCACAGCTGACTCCAACCCACTCCATCTGGTCCCACTCCCAACTGATCCCCATCTGGCTGCTCTGGCTCCACATCCCCTGTTCCAAGAACCTTGCTCTTCCAGCTTTGGCTGTCTCCTCCTTTCCCAAAGGGAGCTTTGCCCTTGCCCATGTGCTGCCCTGTGTGCTGGGAGCTGCCCCAGGCCCCTCACGGCAAACAGCACCCCTGGATGGCTCCACACCTTCCCTGCCCTTAAGGCACGAGAGAGGTTTGGACTCTGCAAACTCCTAGGAGAAGCTGAAGGACCAAACCCACTCCTTTGGAACCCAGGGCTGTCCCTAAGGAAGCATTCTGCTCCCTGCTTGGGATGCAAACACTGCTCAAGCTCTAACCACTCACAGCTCCTGCCATGCCCAGACACATGGACAAACCAAGCTGGTATCAGACAGCAGCAGGAGCAAGTGTGAGCACAGAGACAGTGGAGCATTCTGCTTTCCAGAGACAGAACTGCACACCACAAAGCTGTTGTCTGCACATGGACCCTCAGCACCAGCCCAGAAGCCCGAGCTGGACACACAGGCACAGATCCACGGAGGGCACGTAGGGCTGGAGCCTCTCCAGGCCGCTCTGCCATGCACAGAGCATGGCCCAACACCATGGGCACTGCACCAGCTGCAGCCTCCTCTGACTGGTCCACCCCAGGCAGCAGCTTCCTCAGACTCCCCACACCTAGATCTGAATGGATCACATCCACAGCTGAATTACTTTCATCAACCATTCAATATTTGTCTGCTCATGGCTTTTTCCCCTGATAGAATTGCTGTGGACTGTCTCATCTTGGACTGTGCCCATTAGAAGCAGCTCCGCTCTGCCCTAGCTCCTGTCTGGCACAGGAGAGCAAGAGGTGCTGTAATGTCCAGCCATGCAAAGGGGTTTGTCAGTAAAGATTCCCCTTAGTTAAACAGAAACAGCAAAACTGCCCAGGCTCAGTGTTTCCTTTGGGACCAGCTAACGGCAAGAGCGAGGACACCCCGGCCAGGAGTGCTCCCTGCCCGAGCCTCTCGGAGCAGGGTGTGCTGCCCACACAGCCCAGGATGCTCCAGGAAGAGCTGGAACTGCCGCAGGGCTCCCCTACCTTCCCAAAGTGCTCGATCAGGATCTCCACCACGATGTTCTGGAACTTGATGTTCATCATTGCCGCCACGGTGTCCTCCTGCGCCCGCATGAGGGTGGGCCCGAAGATCACCCCCATGTTGGACGGGGACATCAGGTTCTCCCGGCTGTGCTCACAGACACTGCAGACAGGAACAGGGAGAGTTTGGTCTGGCTTTGCCCAAAGAGATCTTATTCCAAGCAATACATGAACCAGGATACAGTAAGAAGCAGCCACCCAGTTTTGCTCATTGTGTTTCAGGAGAGCTTGTTTCCCAGCAGAGACAAACATGATGCAGCTCTGACACAGGTGTTTGGCTCGGGGCTGCTGGGGAGAGCAGCGTGCTGACAACATCTTCATTTGATCTCTTCCCACTCCCAGCCCCTCTAACTCTGCAGTGAAAAGGCATCTGCACAGCACACACACGCAAGGAATCATTTGGATCCCGTATCCTATTTATCCAGAGCAGACTTCAGGCTTTAATCTCCCCTCTCTCTGAAGGGACAGGATGGAATGCAGGGAGCACACTTGGGTGGTTTGCAGTCAGTCTCTGCACAGCCTCTGCTCCCTGAGAGGCACCAGTCAGTGCCAGAGGGCACAGCTCAGTGGGCACAGCAGCCTCCCAGACCTGCAGCAGGGTCTGAGCCTGGGCAGCCCCAGGGGTTGGCTGCACCACAAACCATCCAGGCGGGCTCTGCCTCAGCCAGAACTGCACCAGAGGGCAGAGTGATACAGATCATAGAATCACAGAATCAACTGGGTTGGAAAAGACCTCCAAGATCATCAAGTCCAACCCTACCATGGTTACTAGACCATGGCACTAAGTGCCACATCCAGTCTCAGCTTGAAAACCTCCAGGGATGGTGAAACCCTGGGCAGCACATTCCAATGCCTGATCACTCTCTCCATAAATTCCCCAGGGGACTGTGGTGGATAGTTTTGCAAACCTGACCCCCAAAAAAGGGCTTGTTCTGCTGATTCTATTATTGCCCTTTCTTTGCTTTAGAGCAGAACATGTGCTTACTTCACGAGGTGCTGGATGAGGAGCTCCAACATCTCCCTGTTCTTGTCAGGCAGTTTATAGACCAGTGCATGGATGGCTCCCAGCCTGTAGTCCAGGTTCTCGGATTCTGGAAAGCAGTAACACAAACAACAGCTTGTGCCCACCAGTTTTAAAGTAAATACACCAAGGAAAGCTAAAGCCAAGGAAACCTGTGGGAGCAGCTCCCTGTGCAGTGAGGGAGCGAGGGGGGCAGAGGGAAGGCAGATGTCACAACAGGCTGAGCACTGTGAGAAACCACATGAAGTGGAAAGAGGAAGAAATGGAGCTTGGAAGGGAGCTCAGGGCTGCACTCTGAGAGAGGCCAGGCATGGCCAGGTCCTCCCTTGGCACCCTCACCCCACACACCTGGGAGCTCACAGCCTCTCTCTGGGTGTCCTACGAGCCACAGAGCTCCAACACTGAGCAACACCTAAAACGTCCTGCAGGGAAAAAATTGAGTCCCTGACCCAAAGAGGTGACCCTTAGAAGCATAAATAACTGCGAAACAATAAAACACTGGGTGTGAGAAGAATGGCGAGGGGTGTGGGTGGCTGGGAAGCTCAGTGGTGCACGTTTCTGAGGGAAGGCAGGGAAGGGGTCAGGGTCCTGCCCATGCCCAGCCACCACGGGCTTAACCAGCTCTGACACTAATAAATCCTGGGCTTGAGCACCATCAG